CATATATCTGAGCCACTCAGTCCTCTAAGTCTCAAGCAAAAAGTGCTTTTACTGTCCCTTCGAGAGTTATAAAGAGTCTTGTCAGAAGGCATTTCTACCTTCTTCTAAAAGCTACTACCAGTTAAGAAGAGATGACTCCGTGTTACTGCTCCTGCAGTTCTAATACCCACATGCGGACTTGCAACTCTAGGTTCCAGGGTATCTAACACCTTCTCTGGCCTCTGTAGCTCCTGAACATATGTAGTATGCATGAAAATCACACAGTAACATAAAATAATAATTTTAATTAAATAAATAAAAGATTGTCTACCATGCCAGACATAGTAGCACATACCTGTAGTCACCACACTGTCAGTGGGGCTGCAGCAGGACGACATAAGAGTTTGGGGTCAGCCTGGGAGCAACAGACTTTGAAGAGGAAACAAACTAAGAATATGATATCATCAGATCATTTGCCTATCAGTTCTGAAGTAACTTTCAAAAAGCTCAACGATAAATTTTACAACTGTCCTCAAGCCTGGATTAGGCATATTATTTCCATCATCCTCCTGAAAGTTCCTAGTCTTTTTATTTGATTCTGAAGGTGCTTGTTTGTTTATTTTCAATGGACAGGATTAAAGCCAGGGCTTCATGCCTACTAACCACGTACCATTAGTACAATGGTACTAATGTACTGCAACCTCAGTTGCAACCTGCAACCTCAGTTCATCCTTTTGCCTGATGGGTCCAATGATGTAGATTTTATTGAAATCACCTCAAAATACTTTTTGAAAGTGACAGGGCGGAGCAATATAGTAATAAAGTCTGTGCTACTGCATAAGGCCTTGGCTTGTACCCACTATACCAAAAACTAAAAAAGAAAAGAAAAATAAATCTTTTTTAGAAATTGTGTAATTTTATAAGTGATGCAATTTTTTCAAAACATACCAACTGTCCCCAACTCCCCTTTCCACACATCTGCATCTACTGCCTACACTAGTCTCCTCTGCCTCTAGTATTCAATACCTTCTCCTGAACGACTGGAAGGATGCCTTAGTTAGGGATTATACTGCTGTGATTAACACCAGGACCAAACGCAACTTGAGGAGAGGATTTATTTCATCTTACAATATTCAGGTCATACGCCATCACTGAGGGGAGTCAGGCAGGAACCTAGCGGCAGAAACTGAAGCAGAAGCCATGGGGGAATACTTAATCTGCTTTCTTGCTTAGCCTGCCTTCTTATACAACTCAGGACCACCTGACCCACGGGTAGCACCACTCCCACTGTGCCTACGGCCTGCCCACACCAATCATCAATCAAGAAAACCCCTTATAGACATACTGTAAGCAATCTGATGGAGGCATTTTCTCGTTGAGGTTCCTCTTCCCAGACAACTCTAGCTTGCATCACAAGGGAGTACTCACTCATACTGTAAATTCCCTTACAATCTTGGGTTTTATGGGTGCTGTCTTCTCATGTGCATTGTATTCTGCCCCTCAAAAACCTCTGTAGGTACAGAATATAACTTACAGACCTTTGTACCACCAGTGGCCTCAAAACAAACCTGCATAGTGCAGACACACATTGAAGATGTGTTCTGTTAATAGGGAAAGTCAACAATTTTTCAAGGCCCACTAAAAGCCATGTAGGCGGTAACAGTGTGGAAATGAGATTTCTGCCTTAAAGCTGTTTACAAGCAAAATATGTAAATTATCTACAGAACCAACAGGAATAAGTATGTACTAAGAAAGTTCCTTGTGTGGCTCTAGTTGGCAGGATTAATGTGAGAACACTGAAGCATCGAATTAAGATAAAAAGAGTAGGACTTACCCATTCACCTTCAAATAATGGCTCCAATGAGGTAGAAGGCAATGATACTCAAAGAACAGCAAGATCCTTTCCTTGAGCACAATCAAGGACAGCAAACATCGCTAGACAATGGTGGCAAGCTTTGGAAATGGCTGGCAGGGAGCCTGAACAGCAATGCAAAGCCAGAGTGTGGCTTTCTTTGAAGGCAATACAATAAGGTACACACTTTGGAAAAGGAGACATAGCTATTACTGAGTCATGAAAAGACAGTAGGGGAGAGCTAGCATAAGAAGCTGGAGAGTAAGACTACAAATAAAGAGCCAACAAGACACCTTGCCTGCCCGCATTACTCTCAAGTAGGAATCTGGGACCCATTTAAGACCTTCACATGAAGCCCTAAGTGCCAGGGCAGGGTCACTTGACTTAACTACCACACACAACCCCACAAAGGGCAAATATATGTGACCTACTAAAGATAATATAACAAGGTGGCTTAGAGCAATGGAGTGTCTCTTGAAGAGTTCAGCTCTCGTGTTCATTAGGTATATGACCAAAAGGACACAATCTCACTTGATTAGGTATAAACCCCCAGGAGAAACTACAGAGGCGGGAGCATAAAGACACTACTTCCAAGTCTTCCTGGACACTCAGTACCAGCAAACCAGTCAAATACAAGCACTCCTGTCTCTTGGATGAGGAGATATAGAATGCCTACAAGAGTGGGTAGCTCAGTAAGTTCCCAGCCAATACTATTAAGATGATGTACAATAAGGCATGGATCCTTGGATTAATGTCGCAGTCCTTCGAGGATCCTTGGACCTCAAGGTTGAGAGTTACTCTCCTAGAAAATATGCCAAAGGAACAGAAGAGCAATTCAATTCATCAGCAAAGAGTTGTGGCAGCTATGGAATTCAGTATAGTGCTGCAGGTATGCCAGGACACCAAGGCAATACCAGCAAGGAAAAAAAAAAAAGGCAGAGATACGTGGCAGGGGAGTGATGGGCAGTAGAGTAGAACTCAGAAGAATCTGATTGTCAAAACTGAGAGCAAAGCAGGAGTTTGGAGTTTGAAATGAAGTGAAAAACCAAAAACTTCTGGTCAGGAAGTGATATATTGGATATATTGAACATAGTACTTTGGGAGAACTCTTGCTTGGCCGGGGGGTGAGGGGGAGGACACAGAACACGACTGCCAAGCCTTCCTCTCCGTGAAGAATCTACCAAACAACAGTTTTCAACTACTTAATAGGATTCTACTTCTAAGCTGCACTGATTCAAAATGCTGGCCACTTTAATCGATATAAGCTATACTAATATGGCACATGGCATATTAACAATGCTTTTTAAAAAAAGACTACTGAATGTAATAAACATATGAGCTTAAACATCCATGCTTAAGCATCAATCTGAGAACTTTGGGGAAAGAGAGTCATCTGCAAGAGTTCTCTAGCATTAAAAAAGAGAGAGGGCATCTCTGGGGACAGTTCAGGAGCAGAGCATCTCTTGGGGGCGGGGGGATGGGGGGTCCCAGACTTGATTTTCTTCTTAACCTTTGATCCTTTCCCACCCTTCTATCATACTAAACATTTACTCATTGTAAGTACTTTAAAAGGGTCAAAATAAGAACTGAAAAAATAATCAGTATCCAGGATTGAAACAGTCTGATGTTAGGGGACTGTGTGTCTGCTCCCTTGTAATACTAGAGACCTTTGAGACCAGGTGCAGTCCCAACAAGACACTTCTTACCTGGCCTCAAATAGTACATCTAAAAATGGAAATAAGGACTTTGTTGTGGAAACTAATACTGAGGGTTAACCAAGTGAGTACGATATAATACGTATGTAGATGGAGGGCCTATTAGCTGTTATTATCATCTTGGTTTTAGTATTACTTTGACCGCCATCAGAAGACATTACTTCAACACCGCTGAATCTCACACTGCGCCCTTAGATAAGGCAATGGTTGGTCCTACCTGTGGCAACACCTCTAGGAGACGACTACCATAAATTAGCCATGGTCAGCATTCCACATGGCTCCCAACAATCGAGGCAGCACAGCCTAATTACCTCACCCAAGGAGTTCATGTCTTTGGAATTAGAAACGCTAGTCTCTAGAATTAGAAACTTTTGGACCAGTCTGTCAAGATACGCCCCCAAAATGTGTGAAAACATGACTCTCCCAAGTTTGTATGGAGGAGAGCAAAGTGTGCAAACATGAAGAGGAAAAGCGATCTGTAACTCCTGTTATCTCTTCTCCACCCGGAACTCTGGTAAGGGGTAACCAAACCCTGGCAGCCGCTGGTGTCCCAAACAGGGCAGATGAGCAGGTGAGCGAGGTTGAGCGAAGTGACACCACACACTATTGACAGATCACTGGCCCTTTTCCTTCCCGGCACCAGGCTCTGCAAAGTACGATATTTCTTCCAAGCCCTCTCTTGGGCTCCGTGGAAGAAACGCCACAGTCACCCAGAGGACAGGTGAGACAGAGCGGTCCTGTGCGCAACAAGAGCTCACAACCAGAGCGAGCAGAAAGCCACGCTGCCCGGGCTGAAGCCGGCTCACCCCCGCGGCCGCACACACCTTCCGGGACGCGCCGAGAGCAGTTCCCCGCGCCTCGGCGGCCCTGCGCTGGGACGCGGCCCACGTGCCCCGAGGCC